AAATATAGTTTGCGATGCAACGGAAATTTTTGAATCTTGCCAAGTGATACATATAACAAACAGACAACCGTAAAGGTAATGGAATATGTGCAATAAAACAGCAAGTGACTTTATTCACTTTTAAAACTAATATAAAACCTGAAATAGTTAGGCTAAAATTAAATCTAAGTCAAAATTAGAACAGTTGTGTGCTGGAAATACCATACATTTTAATAATTTTACTACTAATGGATTGAATTTTTTTGCATTCAGTGGTTTAAGATTTCCAAAGGGACTAGATTTATAATTCATGAGATGGTAGACTAGGAGAATAATAAGTTAAAACAGGAACAATTTAACAAATAGATTTTCCCCTATAGGTAAGTTCACTAAAATTTAAAATTCAAAATAAACAAAAATAGCAAACATATTCTAAATAGGTAACTTTACAGAGACCTAAATCGTCACACATTTGATTGACGCAACAGTTTGATATGTATTAATTAATTGTCACGTAATTGAATCACCTGTTATATGATGCGATTAAATACGACATATCAATCAAAATATCCTTAGTCATTGTGATGTATGAATTGTGTTTTTATTTGTTTTAATGTTTCATGGCGCTCTTTTATATCATCTATTCGGCAAAACATGTTTGTTTTATACTTAGATAAAAATGTCTTGACTATTAAGAAGTTCGCGAACCAACTGGATTGGATTTTAGGAACGGGGTTTATGAGGGGTTTATGGGGTAGACATTTGCTACTTCCATTTTTGATAATTTAAACTAAAATATTTGCAATTTCTTTGAAAAGTAAAAAAAAAAAACAATTCTTTGATTGAAGCGTGTTTATGTTAAGAAGAAAATTCAAAAACACTGTACATTTTAAATCCATGTTATTCTTATCGAGAATATGTCAACTGTTGTAGTTTCATTGTTTATAGATATATTTTGATCAAATTTGGAACATTTATTTATTTTATACTAAAATATTACCATTACAAAAAAACACTTTCTGTCTCCCTGTAGCAGAAAAACTAAGTACTCTTTTAACTAATGCTTTTTAAATTGGGAATAGATATGGCATTTTTAAGGAGACATTTTAATGAAAATCTATTCGGGCACAGGGAATTCGCTTAGTCTGCAGGTTTGCTGCAGCAAGGGTATTTTAGATATGTGGTCACACGGCTTGATGTGGGTCCGATCCTTGAGCCGCCATATTGCTTATAGATATTGGTGATTAGCAAGATTTTAACCGTAGTCTTCAATACGGAAGTCAAGCGTTTTAACCACTAGACCAGTAACTGTTGCGCCTTATAAAAACTAAACACATCAAATAGTTTAATACATATTACCTGAATTAACCTCCCATTTTGATTATTTTATTTGCATTATTTCGTTATATCCACTTAAAACTTCAGTGATGCCGCAGGTACAACTTGTTTCAACCCTTGTAATCATGCTTAATTTCAATAACCCCCGTCTGTAAAATACATCACACTGGCCATAAAGGGTTAATTGACTAGAAATCCTACTGACCCTCCAAATTTATGACGAGGGGAAGCAAATGATAAACGAACCGAAATTGGAGGTACAATAACAATCCCTGATCCCCTTGATTTCAGTCGGTATATTGTTTAGTTTCAAGCCAAGCGTAAACGTTCAATACATTTCACGATCAAAATCGGATTCCTCTTTTCTTCTTGGAAGAGTTTTATTGGTCGGGCTTTCAAGAAATTGTAGTTTATTGAGAACATTAAAAACTATACAACTCAAGTATTCCATATTAGTATACAATAAATCTCTGTAAACATGTAGCTAGTTACTACCTCAGTATATACAGAACTATGCTAAAAGAAAATATAATGGTAAAATGTATGTTAATCTATAAATAGACACTTAAAAGAAGCTTATTAACCTAATTTGTAGTAAAGTAGATTTCACTTTTTTATTTTGAAATATTTATGTAGTCTATTGTTAGATACTGGCTAGAATACTGTAATGTAATTTTTTTATTATATTCGTTGCACATTTCTGTTAAAAGCAAAACAATAAATTTAATAGTTAACTGAACGTGGAGTTGTATATCACTCTCCCAAAATATGTAAAACTAATTCGGAGAGAATATTTTTCTAAAACACAATTTTAAAAAGGAACTTGTCTTACACCAAAGCCTTAATGCATCCGCCCACTTTCCTCTGAAGGGCTTGTTTCAATTCCTGCCCTAATGGAATCATAAATCATTTCCCAGCACAAATCATTTTGAGAAATACAATATGTCTCTAAGTTCACATTCATAGGATATATGTGCAAATGTATTTCATCCAAGCCTTACTTTACTGAGGGAATAACACATAAAATGCAATATTTGAAAACAATCGCTTTCATCATTAACATTTATCATCCATTTATTTAGGAATGTTACTTTTATGAAATCATGCACATTGACATCAACATTATACAGTTTATGCAATTGATGTGTTCTTATCTTATATCAATCTGTAATTAATTGTATTTTTAAAAGTTAAACAATGGTTAAGATCTTTGACTTTTCCTTAGAAACTGTTAAATAAATGCATTGAAAAGATGATTATTAGTTTTGGAGGATGCAGTTTTCCGAACAATTTTTTTAATTTTTGTCACCTGACAAATAAAAGTGGGTAAAAATTGTATGTTGATAACATTTTGATTTGTTGTATGGTAGTTTGATTTGTTCTGTAGTAAGTCAACCAACTATTAGCGTAGTTTATTTATTATTCATCATACAAAGTAATGGAAATAAAGCGCACTACGAAAAGTAAAGGATTCCAAATAAGGCAGTCAGTAGCTATAAGTATATACTTGTGTTAAAGGGTGACGTGCACTATTTACCAAGCGATCATAGTTCAGAGGGTTCTAGATGAAAGAACCGTGTACAAATACAGAAAATGACCAAACAACGAAGTGCCACAGATATTGTAAGGAGAGAAAAAACTGACCCTAGTCATATTTTTGACTGGGACGGTGGCTTCGTCTTTTAATCCACCTACTAGGAGGTCACGAATGGTGGATATTTATAGGCATGCACTGTGAATTGGATACTCCCTGGTGTGGATTAACGACCGCACTACTGAGTACTACGTCCATCCGCAGTACCATCCTGATAATTAGACCAATTCGTTAATTACAAGGCAAAAATGTGGTTCGGATTTCACCATAAACTGTGTAGGTCCCTTAGTTGCCATTCGCTGTATGGGCTATTAATTAACAGCTGCGTCCAAGGATTATGTCAGCCTTAGTCACTAACAAGACTACAAGATCTATAGGATACTCATCCTACATTCATCTCCATTCATACTTGGCTTAAAATACCTACTTTCGTATGGTCACAATTTTAAAGAAAATTATTAAAGTATTTTAATGACAGGAATATTTTCCTCACTATTGCATTAATGAAAAGCCATGCTATAACTACTAATTATAGCGTCATGTCTTTATTTTTATGTTTACTGGACTTAAAGTGAAACATTGAATTACCCAAAATTATCCAGAATTACCCAAAAGCATTGGCTAAACAAATCCCATTAACAATTTGAACACAATTTTAGAAGCTTAAAAAAGTCTCCTTTGTTATGAATTTTGATTCATCAAAATAAACTAATTTGTAAATAAAACTTGTGCAAGGGTGTCATATTGATCAATGGCCGTAAGGGGGTGGGTTTGTGAGGGGAGGGGGAGGGACGGTCACCGGATAGTTAGATTACAGCAGAATCACGATTAATATGCAAGTATGAAATATAATACATTGTAAAATATTCACATGTAATAGTAATTAGTTATAGCTAAAGTATATTATTTTGTTATTATGTGTTCAAACTTGAAAAATCACTTTTGTATTTGTCACCGAAATCTATTTAGACACATTCTAGTATTCCTGCTTACATGAAGTTTAAGGTGCACCACCCCAAATCTCTTTAAGTGGGGGAAAATTAAGATCCGTATACTCTCCTAAATGGTAAACCTAAAATATGTAAAATCCTGTGGGAAGAGAGTGGTATATTTTCTACTGTTTGGCGGGGAAATACAGACAGAAAGTTATTGCTGTTTGTAACACTGGCAGTTTAATCTTCAGGCTCGGTTGAATAAACGAGGAAGATACAATTCTGGCTACATCCACCCCTATTATAATACTCCTTCCTCGTAATGCCTAAATATACAATATGTGTTGTTGAAAGTCAAAAGTCTAAATGCTATTGCCGTTTATTATATCCAATATTCATGAAAAGAGCTTTATAAACAACATAATTTCTTTTAGTAAAAATCACAAAAATATCCTTCGTAATTTTTTGATTAAAATTGTTATGTTATTCATTGTGACCCTTGGTTGAAAATATATTTGATAAAATGGAAGAATTATCTTATCCAACCACAGTTGCTAGTATGACAACTAGTTTCGTTCCTTAGAACATCGTCAGGTCATTGTAAGCAACCACATCTTCAATGTATGTATGTACAATGTGTTATGTCAAAAGATTCTTTAAAAACACTGTCAGAATCACAATAGTAAAAACTAGTCATGTTGATCAAACTATTAAAATTGAATAAAAAGTGATAAAACTGGTTAAAACTGTAAAGGCTGGCCAGCACTCTCTTATCACTGTCACTGTCTACATAAAACTGACTGAATCATGAGGTGTCTTCATCTTCATCCAAGTTTTATTTAGACAGTGACAGTGATAAGAGAGTGCTGGCCAGCCTTTACAGTTTTGACCAGTTTTATCACTTTTTATTCAATTTTAATAGTTTGATCAACATGACTAGTTTTTACTATTGTGATTCTGACAGTGTTTTTAAAGAATCTTTTGACATAACACATTGTACATACATACATTGAAGATGTGGTTGCTTACAATGACCTGACGATGTTCTAAGGAACGAAACTAGTTGTCATACTAGCAACTGTGGTTGGATAAGGTAATTCTTCCATTTTATCAATAAAATTGTTAATGTTTGAATTCACGTAAAACTCTTGTTTCAGGATATCCAGATCCAGACGATACGCATAGAGCGATTGCCTCTGGACGGACCCTTGGAGGCAGAAGACTCGACCCTCTTCAACGACAGCGAGGACGGTGACGAGGGTCATCTTAGGGCTTCGCCCCACCTCAGACTACGGAGAGGGCGATAGCGTAGACTGGGGAAGGATTAGGGCTTAGGAGGAACTGCAATGAACTGACAGGAGTGAAAAATGTCCTCACACATTGGAGTGTTATGTTTATTCTTACAGACCTTAGTGTGTGTCTTTAGGGGCATTGTTATGAAAACATAAGTAAAACATTCATGGAAAAGCTTTGAACGAATATTCTATTGTGTCTAGAATTTGAGCTCTAAATGAACCTATTGGGGTTTCTAGTTCATTTTGTGGTAAAATATGGTTTCGAAAATGGGTGGGTAAAGTAAACATTATAGCATGGATGCTAGTTAAATAACTTTATTTGGAAGTGATATAGTATTGAATAAGGATGTGGATTTCACTGATGTGTTTCCTTTTCACTGTATTATAATATTATTGGATAAAAATTCAAATTACTAATGCCATTGCTACTGTAATCAAGTAAAGTTTGAGACAAAAATTTTAGACAAAAGTCCACAAAACACAAAGTTGTCTAAGTTAAATCTGAAGCTAAGTGGTGTACTTTTAAAGACACATATACGAGCTGTACGTTAAATAACCAGTTTATTCTGATTAAGATAAGTTTCAGCATAATAATGAAATGAGTTTTATATTTCCTAACTTGAATGAATGCTTTACTTAGGGATTCCTCTAATGATCCTTTTTAATTGGCTAAACACAAATAATATTTTCATATAAAATAGCACTACGTTACGAACATAGCCATTTTCTTTATAGATTAGCAATCAAAATATATTATAAAAGATTGTGGGCGAGGGAAATTTTCTTTGATCAATATTTACAGAATAAATTAATATTTGTAAGAAAGAAGTGATTTTCTAGTTGCTTATTTTAACAATTAAAAACAAATACCTTTCTTGAAACAAACTAAAGACTAGTCCGGTTTATTTTTTAGGTCAGATAGCACTCAATTTAAAAACGTAACATAAATCAACAAATGAGTAGTTTTCCATTGTTGTACAATATCTTTTGGGTAAGTTTAATTTAGGTAGATATAAATTAAATGCTAAAGTCAGAACCAAAATATTTTAATGTACAATATTACAGCCACTACTTTTCAATGAACAAAATAGTCTAAGTCATAAAAGTTTGGATCTTTGCAGGGTAAAACATTTGTAGGAATAACAATGATATTTGATCATGTGTTAATAAGTATTCAAAACTTTGGATAACCCAATCCCTTGAACCAAACCATTTTTCCTTTTGAGTTATTATAAAAACAATACCACACTGAGCCTCTTGAAACTAAATATTTAGTGCTTTTAATTTTTTAAGTCAAAATATAATCATCACTGAAATATTGGGTTTATTGAGGCTTAACAGACATTCTGTCTATTCAAAATATGAACATATGTGACATTCAATACTAAAATGTATAAATTATGTATAATAAAGTAACTAAAAACTTCGTGCGGTTCCAAATTACTTTATTTTTACTTGTAAAACAATCTCAAAACATTGTTTTTCTAAACTGTAGCTATATGTAAGTGACATTAAAAAGTTAGATTTTTAGATTTTATTCGATCTTTTTCCTATTGTTGTAATTGGTTGTAATTTCATATTTGTACGAAAGGAATAAAGTATATTTCTAATAAAATGTATTTTTATTGGTTTCGAATATGTTTTAATAGCAGATTGTGTGTCTCTGACATCTCGTTGATCGTGTAGCTACGATCTCTGTGTTTGTGAATCGTGTATCGACAGCTGTTACTCCGACTACTTTTCTCACAATGTTTAGTCTCGTCCAAACCACCTGATACTGCAGTGCTGCAGTACTGCCCAGGGTTTGACTACTTAAATTTAAATTTTTACATACTTTAAAACAGACTTTAATTTCACTCGGTGGGATTCGAGCACGTTTCGGGCAGTATAAATACCGTCCCAACATGTTTTTGGTAAATGAAATAGCGCAGACCGTCCATGTAATACTTCATTAACTACTTTAGTGCCAATAATTGTTTAACTTAATACGAGTTTTTATACAGAAAGTAGAATAGAAGACAAGTTGCCAATAGTGAGATGTATCAGCTTGTCAGAGATAATGTGTTTGCAACTCTGTCTGCATTTGATATGCAGAGAGTTGCCAATGGTGTAACAACCTTTGTTACCTCACAGATTTATATAAGATAGTCTTCAACTTTGAAGAAACAACAGAGTTTAGTATTGAATTGAATTGAATTGAATTGAAAATGTCTTTATTCATATTATATACAGTGGTATACATCGAATGGCGTCATTATACTAAATTACAGCTAACAAACTAATTTCTTTACATTTCCTCCATAAGCCATAAGGTACATATTTAAAACAACAGTTGATCATCATAAACAACAAAAAGTATGGTTGTCAGAGTTCATCAAATTTATATAATGTTTTATTTGTCAAATGCAGTTTTAATTTTTTCTTAAACATGTTTACATATTTAACGTTTCTCAATTCCACAGGTAGCCGTAGTAAAAACTTAGCACCCGCATTTAATGGTTTTTTATTATAAAACTCTAGCCTGTGGAAATCAATGGCAATTTGATTTCTATTTCTTGTAAAATAGGAATGGCTGTCACCTAACCTGGGAACCAGATTGTTTATACTTAGTTTTTTAGCATGAAGTGCTGTGTGAAAAACATATAAACTGTAAACAGTCATTATGCCCAAATCTGTAAAATGCTGACGAACCGAATCACCAAAATTCAAATTCATTATGATTCTTATCGCCCTTTTTTGAAGAATAAGAATTCTATCCAAATTTTGTTTTGATGTACCTCCATAGATTTCAATGCCATAACTGATTGCTGATTCAATAAGAGAAAAATAAATTGTTTTTAATGTATTTACTGAGCAAAAATTAGACATCCTATATAAAGCATACAATCCAGAGGTGACTTTGTTAACTACATGATCTATGTGGAGATTCCATGATAAATTTTCATCCAATGTTAAGCCTAAAAATTTGGTAGAAACAACTTTTTCCAAAGAGTGGTTGTTTATTTTTATTACTGGATTTACTGAATTTTTACTTCTTCCTGCATTGTATCTGAAGCTAACCTTCAACATTGTTAATGTCTACTATTGTTATAAGCAATTTTTAAAGAGAAGCGTTACAACTGAATTTTCTAACAGACATATGTCGGCTTCGATATTAGTTTCGAGTGGATTTACGTAAAGCGAGAGCTCCATTACAAGTGAAATTCACCAGCTGGTTATGACGTCATTCACAAGGTCACAGCTGCCAAACTATATAGTGTACGATCGCAAAGTACAATTTGCCCGACTGTCCAACTAGTTTTACTTAAAATATTGATTGACATTAATGCTAATTAATGTTTAATTAGCTTAAAACTGCTTGAAGTATGTTTGATTTTCTTTCATGGGAAGAATGTATCTTTGTGTTTGTAATCAAATAAATGTAGAAGCTTAAATAACAAGTTGTAGAAGAGGTAAAAACTAAATTGTTGTTCTTAGAAGAGTCAATTGTTGGTTCATTGGTCAATTGGTAGATTTTTGCAATGTGAGGTGTACGGTCGGTATATTAAAACCTTTAGGTGAGTTACAAATTAGTATTAGAGTCTGTGCATTATGTTACACTTATGAGAGGTCAATGTTATTCACGACCATGTGGACCTAGACAATTCCTAAAACTATGAGTTTATATATGCCTAGTTTATATAATACACAGCTTTAAGGAATAATTAATAAGTAAGTGGTCGTTAGCAGCTCTTTATTCCTTGATCCAGCATCAACATGACTACCACGTTTTTTTGTCTTTCAGATCTACCAAAGTGATTGCTTTCGATACTTCTTTGCAGTCAACCTCCTCTTCCATCGGCTCCGGCTCTGCACAGTTCATGATACTATAATCAAGCCACGAATTCAATCTACCACTCTCATATTGATATTTCTTAATGAGGCCTGCAATAGCTTTGCATTTTTCAGTGAGTGTAGCACCTTCTGTTGGTTTGCCACGATTAAAATGCTCAGTAAGATCAAACGAGTAAGTCAACTTGGAACATTTTTCTTTGTCAGTGTCAGTTAATTCAGTATTCTCAAGGTTGTGTTTGAAGTAGACGGTTTGCTTCTTGTTAGCAAAGTCTGGCGGACTGAACAAAGGTCGAATAGATGCTTGAATTACCTTTTTTATATCCGAATCATATGTTTCTCCAGAGAATGAAATTGTATCAAGAATCACATCAGGACCCAGCTTATCTTTCAAACGGTTGTGGGCGGCGATTATAACGTGGGTTTTATATTTCATTTTTTTCTTATCATCCTCATACCAGCAGCAGTATAACGCTGCAAAGTGGAAGTAGGCAGTCATCCACCATTCCAGTTGTCCCAAGGTGCTAACACTGTAGGATTTCTGGCGGTACATGGTCATTTTATCTCCATCATAAAAAATTGGGTACCTCAAAACTTCCTTGCACGGTTCGACACCAGTGGGACATTCTGGCAGTTCACCACGAGTAAGAACTGGAAAGAAATACAAACTGTTAAACCAGAATAGCAAAACTCTGAATGTATGCATGGAATTCAATGTATTTTTTATCGGAATTCAATTGATATATTTGTGTAGAATAGTATAATAATATGCCTTATGTAATTTTGTTACTTTCTTTGTTTGTGAATATGTAACCCTCCAGAACTGAATGCAGAGAATGAAAAAGAAGAATAAATTGACCTAAATGATTACTTTATAAACAAAATCGTCGAACCCCATTGGGAATAGACCTGTCCAGATTTTTCAACTTACATAAACTATCGCGAGTCACATTATACTGGAAAAGATTCATCTTGTTAGAAGCCTTAAGTTACACAAAAGTCTTCAACCATAACTACTACAGAACTTAAATAAGCCCGCCTTGTCTGGGAAAAATAAACCCACAAAAGAATTTGTTATAAAAATATGAAGAATATTGAAGCCAAAAAAGTTTGAAATAATTCCAAGACAATATAACATTTCGTTCTCTTCTACTTTACGAAACTTTGAAAGAAATTCAAATGGGATTTCCCATTTTTGACCTTAAAAACATAACATTTAGCAAATTATTTCCAAACCATTTTGTTAAAAAATCAAATAATTTAGTATATTGAAACTTTACTATGCGCCAAATGTTTACGAAGAAAATTCCAAAATATTGTAAATTGAAAATTCCAATGTTATTCTTATGGAGAAGTAAATTGTTGTAGTTTGTTTGTTTGTGAAAATATTTTTAACAAATTTGGAAACTGCATTTATTTCATATTAAATTATTAACATTTTACAAAGAAAACACACTTTTTTCACCCTCCCTGTTGCAGCAAACCAAGTACTAGTTAAACTAATGCTTAAGGAATAAATTTGATATTTTAAGGAGACATTTTTATGTAAATCCAAAATCAGGCAAAAGCAAATTCGCTTAGTCCACAGGTTTGCTGTGGCGGGAGTATTTGTTATTGTAAAAGCATTATTAATTGCTTGAACTAGTAAACTAACTAAATTGAAAAATAACTGTTCTATAATTTTATTAAAACTAAACTCATTTCATAAACTTTATACTTTATACTCATAAACTTTTCATAAACTAATAATTATTACTATATCCCACCAAGAAACACAAAACTGAACTACTTTTTACCATAAAAGTCTACGCTTCCACACTAAAAACGTTTACTGGTCCAGAAGGCTAATTTATTGCTTTTTCACGTAAACCAGTTGTTTCTTTATAAAGAACCATTTGTTGAACGCAAAGTTTCAAGATCAAGAACTAAGTATAAGATCAAACTACCCAATAACTACTCAATTTGTCAAATCCAAAGACGAAAACGATTTTTTGTTTAATTTCTGTATTGCGTTCTCTAATCGATTCATTTTTTAAGTATTAAAATGTTTCATGCAGTTGGCACTTTCGGATACGTGATCAATGCTTGGTAACAACTGATTTCTCCCATATATCAGTTATTAGTATAAGCTATCCCGTTAAAAGTCTGTAGCTCTTTCATTGTTCAGAACTAGGCCCAGCTGTAATGATTATTGAGAATCTTGACTAACAAGAAAGTCTGGTTTCGTTTAGTAAAATAGCTACACATATCACTAAATTCGACACAAACCTTTGCATTCAAATTCAGCTACGTACACTTATTTGCGTCACTGGCTCAAAGAAGAATTGAAAAACGACACAGATTTGTTTACTTAAATATATGAATTTATCACAAAGATATAGGTAATGTAACAAAACTGAGGATCTCACCTTTCACAGTGTCCTTGACGAAAAGTGATTCACGTTCAGGAAGAGGCCAAGCCGGAGCGACTATGTTTATCTGTGTTGAAAAAAATTTACATTATATTATAGAATTATGGTTATAGAGTCATCTTAGTGGCTAAATAGTGTTCAATTTAACACAAATTTAATGCAGTTTGTAGTGTACATGTTTTTTCTTATGTCCCACCTTATCTTAGGATGCAAGGTTTATATACTTCAGGTTAGTGCTAGAGGGTTTCAGAATTGCAGCATAGATAAACTCCATTGGTGATTGGCGGGATTTGAACCCAGGACCTCGAGCTCCGAAGCCCCGCACTTTACTACTAGACCAGCTCACTCCCCATAGCATACAACAGTATAATCACATCTACAAATACAGAGCTTCAGACTTAACAATTATGTAATGTAATAAAAGTAAAAAACGTTTCCGTGGGAAATGGTGATAATTTTTCTATTTATAAACTATCAGTATAAATGAATGGACAAGATGGATGATGATGGATGATGATGCTTTGATACTGGTTAAGATAAGAATACAACTTGAAATACTTTACCATTGCAAGGAGAATCATCACACATAGTAGGAGCTCCATGATGGCGGAGTCTACAACTGTAACTGCAGCCGGTTAGCGCCATTTTATACACCTGTTTAACATACGCAAATGTTCTTTAAATTATGAAAAAAACATGTCAATCATTATAATTGCATGCTGATTAAAAGTGTCAAAACCTATGATTTATCGTGAATAATAACCAGCCTTATTTCGTTTGACGCATTTTGTTTGACGCATTTCGTTTGAAGCATTTTGTTTGACGCATTTCGTTTGACGCATTTTGTTTGACGCATTTCGTTTGAAGCAATTTTAAACGTATATATTATTAAAATATACTCCTTCTTTTTCTTAGGAGTAAGTGTGTTTATAAATGAGGTATCCTTTATTTAATCCAGTTAAAATTGATGGCTACTCGTTTACTTATATACGTTTTGATAAACATAGTCAAAAATATCCAGAAAGCTAATTCTCTTACCTCATTAGTGTAATGAAGATGAGTTCTATCCTTTTGACAAACTTTCTATTTAGGTTTAACCTAAATCTAAGTGATCCAATAGACACTTGGATAACATGCCCCTGATTAAACATGTATATGTAGCCAGTGGTCACATGACCGTCTCGACCAATAAATTTATTGCTATAATTTAGTTCACCAATGAGGGAATACTTAGACCCCTCTAAGCAAGTAATGGTGTAGAATAACGGGACCTCTCTCTATCTCTGTGGAAGGGATAACGATAGAAAATTGAAATGAAACAGTGTTGAGTTGCCTGACAAATAATATTACATCAAATACTTATACGAAATACTGAACAACGCTCAACGGCATTAATCTGATTGTTCTTTCCTTTTTTTCCGTATATGTAATGTGATAGTTTAGATTACTTGTTGATTAACAATTGTTACGACTGTTTTGTTTACCTCTTTATTGCTATCTTCAAATACTGCCGTGATGACCAATTTAGCCATAAGACCCATGTTAAATTGCTAAGTTTAAATTCACAAAGGGACCCTGTGGTCCGATTTTTCCGGACCCTTTGGTCCGATTTCTACCATTTTAGAACTATACCTTCTGTTAGCTACTATGATTGTGCTAAATTTCGTGCGGATCGTTGTAGCCTTTCAGGAGAAGTATTTGTAAAACAAAAGCAGGAGTGTGGTATAAGAGCTATGCTCGCTCCGCTCAACAAATTTCCTAAATAGGTTCTATGGCTTCATTCTGAATTGCATTGGACTGTCCATATACTGTACTAATCTAAGACCTATGAGTTAAACGCGAGAAAATCGAGGGATGAGCCAATAATTAACTGGACTGACACTTAAAGATATGTTTTAGTAACAGTCCAACCAGGAAAATGGGACTTAGTTTGCAGGTTTGCTGCTAGGGGGGTATTGCTCTAAGCATAATCCCATTTGGTGGCCCTACTCTAAAATGCTTCTTTGTGTCAAACTTGTAAATCATCATAGATAATTGTTTCTTGTCGGTGTAAAAATTTTTGGCCTCATAGGGAATTGGTTTTACAAATTAATGTTAATTTAATTTGCATAAATATTGTCTGTTTATCATAATAATTTTGAATGTATAAAAGATAATGATTATTTATTAGAGTAGAGGACAATTGTACACATTAATACAGCAGTTTATACGGTTCAATCAGTTTTATAGAACTAAAAATATCCAACAAAAAAACTATATACATTGTTCAAAGTGAAGCAAATCACATTACAATGTAACGAAACTATTTCACCAAGTAGAATGGCGTATACCGCACAGTGATATTCTTGTTTTATATTCATTGGTTTCCAATATGAGTCTGTCATACATGTACCATATTCAGACTCGCTGCTTTTGACTATGTATATTTGTATCAATATTGAATGTTTATATTCTCCATTGTGGCACGTGTCTAGAAGACTCCAATTTCACAGTCTTAAGCTTTAAGTAGTTTTAAAAGGATGAAACAGGAAATATAATTTTTACTGCTTGGCTTTAAACTTCTAAGTATGTGTTGTTGTTCGAGTTATCCGTTTAAACTGTGAAGACTACATTATGATTTAACATCAATCAATTCAAATTATCCTTTATTTGTTTTGTACAAAATATGCATGAGTAGTGTTAATAGTAAATAAAGGATATCAACATTGATAACAAGCTTATTTTTTGTTATTTTAATAACAGATATTCGATGAAGAAGCAACAGAGTTTAGTATCTGAAGCTAAACTCTCAACATAGTTAATGTCTACCATTGTTATAAGCAATTTTCAAAGAGTTACAGAATTGAACTTTCTTTGTCTAACAGACACAAAAATATTGGCTTCGATATTAGTTTCGAGTGGATTTACGTAAACCGAGCAGTCCATTACAGGTAAAGTTCATCAGCTGGTTATGACGTCATTCGCGAGGTCACAGCTGCTAAACTAGTGTACGATCGCAATGATAATTGTGCAACGCTAGGACCAATGACAACTGTTACACTTATAAAATAGAGTTGTGAGCAAGTAACGGATTTGACCACGATTTTTGGTTGTGGCAGATACAAGTATACTGGTACATTAATGACTTACCATGTTCGTAATCCAGAGGTACTACTGCAATACGATCTTTCCCAGCTACGAAGTTATTTTCAAAAGGATAATTACATTATTTCTTATGCATCAAAAACTATTTTAAACCATTTTAAAATGTAGAATTTGCACATGTCCAACTGGTTTTACTTAAAATACTGATTGAAAATGTTAATTAACGTTTGATAAGCTTAAAACTGTTTCAAATACGTTTAATTTTCTTCCATCGGAAGAATGTATCTTTGTATTGTAATGAAATAAACGTAAAAGCATAAATAACAAGTTGTGGAAGAGGTGAAGAAACTGAATTTTTGTTTTTAGAATCAATTGTTGGTTTCTAAACATGATCAAATAGATTTTTGCAATGTGAGGTGTACGGTTAGTATATTAAAACCTGTAAGTGAATACCAACGTAGTATTAGAGTCTGTGCAGCATGTTACCCTTACGAGAGGTCAATTTTATTTATGACTAAATTCTCTAGAGTACATTGTATAACATTGCAGTAAAAATACCAAATCAACTGCAACACTCTCGTCTAGATTTGAATTTACCACAGATCAAAACACTTATACCTGGCTGAAGAGGACAAAGTCGTAAAACAGCCTCAGTCCAGTAGGGTTTCAGCTCTCTGGACTGGAACGTCACGAAAAACAGAACGGATATCAACTTGCGATAAGTTGTGTTTAAAACCACATCTAACAAGATTTCTTATAATTTTAATAATTTATTACCCTGTGTACCTAGACAAATCCTAAAACTATGAGTTTATATAGGCCTAGTTTATATAAGACACAGCTTTAAGGAATAATTAATAAGTAAGTGGTCGTTAGTAGCTCTTTATTCCTTGATCCAGCATCAACATGACTACCACGTTTTTTTGTCTTTGAGATCTACCAAAGTGATTGCTTTCGATACTTCTTTGCAGTCAACCTCCTCTACCTCTGGCTCCGGCTCTGCACAGTTCATGTTACTATCTCTAAGCCACGAATGCTCTCTATCACTCTCATATTGATATTGATCAATGACGCCTGCAATAACTTTGCACTTTTCAGTGAGTGTAGCACCTTCTATTGGTTTGCCCCTATAAAAATGCGCAGTAAGATCAAACGAGTAAGTCAACTTTGTGCATTTTTCTTTGTCAGTGTCAGTTAATTCAGTATTCTCAAGGTTGTGTTTGAAGTAGACGGTTTGCTTCTTGTTAGCAAAGTCTGGCGGACTGAACAAAGGTCGAATAGATGCTTCAACTACTTCTTTTATATTCGAATCATCTGTTTCTCCAGAGAATGAAATTGTATCAAGAACCACATCAGGGCCAAAGTCATTTTCCAATTTATTGTGTGCGGCGATTATAACGTGGGTTTTATATTTCATTTTTTTCCCATCATCCTCATACCAGCAGCAGTATAACGCTGCAAAGTGGAAGTAGGCGGTCATCCACCATTGCAGTCGTCCCAAGGTGCTAACACTATAGGATTTCTGGCGGTACATGGTCATTATATCCCAATCATAAAAAAGTGCGTAAGGTTCATCTTCCTTGCACGGTTGGACACCAGTGGGACATTCTGGCAGTTCACCACGAGTAAGAACTGGAAACAAATACAAACTGTTAAACGAGAATAGCAAAACTCTGAATGTATACATGGATACACAATTGATATTGTCTAGATGCTTAAAAGTGGCGTTATATACTATTATGTTACATTTACAAAAATACTGTAACTATATAATTTGATATAGTTATTTCAAATCATAACTATATCATCAGACTTATTTGCGTCACTGGCTCAAAGAAGAATTGAAAAACGACACAGATTTGTTTACTTAAATATATGAATTTATCACAAAGATATAGGTAATGAAACAAAACTGAGGATCTCACCTTTCACAGTGTCCTGGACGAAAAGTGGTTCACGAACAGGAAGAGGCCAAGCCGGAGCGACGTTTAGGTTTATCTGTGTTGAAAAAAATTAACATTATATTATAGAATTATGGTTATGGAGTCATCTTGGTGGCTAAATAGTGTTCAATTTTACAAAAGTTTAATGCAGTTTGTAGTGTACATATTTTTTCTTATGTCCCACCTTATCTTAGGATGCAAGGTTTATATACTTCAGGTTAGTCCTAGAGGGTTGCAGAATTGCAGCATAGATAAACTCCATTGGTGATTGGCGGGATTTGAACCCAGGACCTCGAGCTCCGAAGCCCCGCACTCTACTACTAGACCAGCTCACTCCCCATAGCATACAACAGTATAATAACATCTAAAAATACAGAGCTTCAGACTTAACAATTATGTAATGTTATAAAAGTAAAAAACGTTTCCGTGGGAAATGGTGAGAATTTCTCAATTTACAAACTATCAGTATAAATGAATGGACAAGATGACGGCTTTGATACTGGTTAAGATCAGAATACAACATGAAATACTTTACCATTGCAAGGAGAATCGCCACACATAGTAGGAGCTCCATGATGGCAAAGTCTACAACT